AAACCGATCTTACCCCAAACCTGCTCAACACCGATACCACGAGTTCTGACGTGATATGGGAAAAGCTCGATCAGGAAAGCTGCCGCATCATCAGAAGGAGGTAGAGAGGGGGGCGAAGACTTCACTCACTGTATGTCAAAGCATTGTTTCCGAGATTGTATGGGACGGTATAAGCAAAGTACCAGAATAAGGCGGAGATAGAAGCGGCGTGATTAACGCGGTTGGCGAGCTTGGCCGCGTTGAGCTGCTCGAAAGAGATCGTCATGGAGATGAAGACAATCAACATGCCCGTGGCAGCAGTCAAGAACATGATGCGGCGTCTGAATCTGGCGACTATAAAAAGTGCGAATGGAACGGCAACGATCAGGTTCCAGCACTGGTTTGCGAGATTGATTCGAGTCTTTGCATAGCCAGTCGTATATCCCATCATCTCGAATAATAAGTTCGAGTAGTAGGTGAGGAGCGAGTTTCCTGACATCTGCGTGAAGAGACCGAGGAAAGAAGCGATGATGGTGCGCTTGCGCATACCTCTCGTGCTGATCATGTTCATCCAGGATTGCTTCGAGTTGTCCATCTCAATCTTGATTGTTGAGCGGATCTAGACAAATCATTAGCACCGTCAAATATCAACCAAGGTTTCAAGAGATCTGAGAAGCTTCGGATTGCTTCGTTCTTAAGATACGATGGTAGTAGAATGGCCCAGAGTCGCTCATGGAGCATTTCCAGGGGCTTAAAGAAGAGTAACTCAGAATGAAGTTGAGATTTACCTGTGCCATTTCTGCTTTAACGAGGACGGAGTCTTCGTCTCCCTCTGCGTGGTACTTAACCAAGATTTCATGGGCCTCATCGTATCGATCTCTGCTGACAAGCCATCTTGGACTCTCCGGAACGAAGCTAGAGCACCACTATTAGCTAGGACGAGCAAAATATAAACCAAACTTACAAGATGAATGCAATTTGCAAAAGAGATGGACACATCTGTAGCAGGGACGGGATTCGCCAGCTCCAGTTGTTAGTGATTCCAGTAGTTCTAAGCCCAATAGCTGCTGCCGTGATTGAACCAATAAAGTAAGAAGAGTTGAAGAGAGATGTCAAAGTGTCTCGATCCTTTGGATGCCCGAGTTCACCAAGTAATGACGAGCCAGAGATGATGCAGAAGACGATCCCAAAGCCAAGAACCATACGGGCAAAGAGATACATTCCCACTACACGCGTCAGCAGGGTGTCTCATACTGTTCAGAGAGAAGACATACAGTCTTGGGCAAACCCTTGGATGATGGCCCCAATTACCATGATTACAGAGCCACCAAAAACAGGCCAACGTCGTCCAAATCTCTGGTTGATATAGGGTGCGAACGGAACGCCAATTATGGAGCCAAGTTGATACGAAGCACTCAAAAATCCCAACAAAGGAGTTGATATCACTGGAGCCCCTTTCGCATTCTTGGTGTTTCCGAAATCTGGATTGGTTCAGCAGCTATTCATTTGGAGTTTAGAAAGGGATTCTGTACATGCGTTCCATGGGTCAGAGAACTGCAAGACATTGATCAGTTGGGAGTCGAATCCTGAGGTCATCTCCACACCCATGCAGCAGGCGAAAAGACAAAAGTACATTCCCCGAAGATTGCGTTTCTTGTACCATTTTACAGGATCCTCGGCCGCAATCTGTGTGACGATGGGATCTGAAATCCCAGATACACTAGGAACCGCGACTGGGATGTGTGGTGCCATTGTGAGGATATATTTTCGTTCAAGGCTCGCTTGGCTCAACTAAGTTCGTCAGGTATTCTTATCCTGAACTCGCCAGGCTGAGGAGGTTCGAGGAAAAGGACCCAGGAATTTGGGAAACAATATAGCTTTAATATACGGTACTGTAGTGCCATATTGATGTGGGGTGGAAGATCGCCTCCAGAACTTTGGTTGCATTCAGCCTGATATAGGCTAAGCTCGGTTGCTTCTTCGGGACAGCTCCTGACTGCGGGGTGTCAGCCTCCAACTTTCTTCTCGATAAACAGTGGTCGATAAACGCAGGAGATCTCCAATCAATCGCCTCGGAACCAGAATAGCGGAATCACTAATACCGTAGTAATACAGATCTTCTACTTCTGGAAGCGAGATGCTGCTTGCTGCCTGCAATTCCGCACGTGGGGCTTCCCCAGAAACGAGATCTGAACTTAGAAAAGTCGACCCGGAACCCATTTTGCCTTGTGGGGAACACAAATGTGAATCATCTCCCCAATCCCAAGTCAGACGTTTTTCTCTCTCATCAAATGAAATTCGCCTCCTCGTGTTCCCAAAGCCAAGCCGGTCACCAATTCGCTTTCTCTTTACCCAGCCTCTCAGAGTCATGTGCCAAGGCTGGAGAGCGGCCGAACCCCCGTTTTAGCTTGAAGCTGTGTCATGGGATTATTGACTTCGGGAACGGTCGCTTGCGGGGTAGGAGAGCATTCCGTTTTGTATCGGTGTAGAAGAGAGCTCGTGCTTGGATGGGGCGAGAGGGTTTAGAGCGAGAGCGAAAGCGACCATCGAGAACGTCTCTTCCATATTCCGTTGCCCTGCGCATTTCCGAGGGGTCATGTCTAGTCGATAAAATAGCTAATGAGACGGCGAGCTTCATAGTTCAAAACGAATCAGATATTATCTTGATCTTCATGTAATGTCAAAGCAGAAATGATGCTGCCAATCACGTGAGGGTCGTGGCTGGTGTGACTTCTTTTCTAGTTTGGAAATCATCCTTTGCGCTCTTGGAAAACGGTCTCAACGCCGTGTTCAATCAGTGCATACAGTACATAATAATTTGACATGCTGAGAGCTTACCCGTTCCGGCTTCCCATACTCCACGGTCCCGTAATTTCTACCCAGACTCACATCTCTAATCCAGTTCCTTTTTGTCTAACCAGGCTTTGAACAATTTTCTAATTGGTGTCAGTCATGATTCAGAAAATACCAAAAGAAATAATCAGAGAACTTACAGTGCTTCCACTGGCTTGTCCCAAGGTACCATATGGCCAGCACCATTAACTCTGGCATATCGAAGTGGACCGCTCTCCCACCACAATCCACCGCTCCATACTTTCTTGTTGTTCTCCTGCTGATATCGGAAATCTGGAAGGCCTTTCCAAACAAGTGATCCGAAAACTCTCTCATTGCCAACAAAGTTACAGATCCAGTCATAGGTTCCCACGTAAATAAGAGCTCGAATTCCAGAATGCAGCAAATTTTTTACGTATGGCCTTGTATCAATAATGAAATCGTTCACTTTCTGAAATTCGCGGCCCACTTTGTTGCTGCATCCAACAAAATCTGGTGCTGCTTTGTCGACTCCAAATGCCTCTCTGACTTCATTCTTCCTCAGGAAATTTGTAATTGAAGTCATGATTGGGTAGCACAGGTATCTGAGGATTCCCATTAGCATCTCTTGGGGAAAGGCCCTCGGAGAGATGGACTTACCCATCGCATGGTCGACTGATGTCGTAATAATTCAGACCTGAATTGAAATATGGCCTTTCAAGCTCCTCACTACAATAACCCTCTGCTGTTTGGCAGATCAAGGGATCCGGAAAATGGTGACATGCATCCTGCAAAAGCTCACATCTTCCTACCGCACGAGACATCTTGTCACACACGCTTGATTCCAGGAGTGGTCCGATTCCTGTGACATTGGTACATGGGATATCGTAATACGAACTGGCTTGCTTGGTATCACTGAAGATTCCGTTACCAATGAGAACAGATTCAAGTGGAATTTGCTCGTCAAGCGTAACAATCTTGTTCATCTCATTGATGTGATCAGCAAATACGGGGATGTAATGTCCTAGCTTGGTCAGTAAATACCGTGTGTTATGCAAACAGAACTAACCTCCATAAGACTCTCCGGCAATCGAAAATGGTAGAGACCTTGACTCTGGAAAGGCCTTGTACCACAATCTCATGAAGGCGTAGATATCCTCGCTGGCTGCGAAAGTACCGCCTTCTCCACCATGATATGAATCATTAGTATGGTAGGAAAACCCGACGCCGATCTGTTTTGAATGTCAATATGAGAAGAAAAGGGTGGATCGGAATGACTTACTGGCTGATCTAAAAAGAAAACATTTGCGGCACTGATCCAGCTGTGGGGGTTCTCGCGAGCGGACTCGCCATCCTCGTTTACAGTACATGGACCCAACTCCATAAACAGACCCGTCATACTCGAACAACCAGGTCCACCATTGAGCCAAAGAACAAGAGGATCCTCGGCCGGTTTGGAACGCGATTCGAAGTATGCAAAGTAGAAATGTTTGTCCCCGTGATTAAGATATCCGGTGTAACCAGAGGTCGCTCCAGGACAGATATCACCCAAGGTCGGCGCATCACTTTCGATGGATGGATTCTTAGGACCATGAGCCTTTATGGTCAGACTGTGATCTGGATGCGATTCGTGGGTGAGAGTTCTGACTCCCGAGGCATCCAGTGCTTCATAGGTGGGATCTGTCAAGGGAGCTTGCGGTACTGAAGAAGCTGCTGATGAAGCAGCGAGAGTGACCAGAATTACTGGCCAGATCGATTTCTTCATTTTTCTAGCAACAGATATGGACTGTCGAGTATTGTGACTGTGTGAGGATTGCTGTGAGGTTCGCTGAAGGTTGAAACTCCAAGCAATCAGCGCTAAGATAAGGTTAAAGGAGACCGTTATGTAAGCAGACCCACTTCTCCAGGTACCTCCTTCCCCTGAAAACCTTCGCTTAGAGATACAGACAAAAACACATATAAACAATAGCCGTCGTGATTCAGTCCACAGTTTAGACTCCAGATGTGCACTTGAATACAAGACTAGTCATTGGTATATAGAAGTGAAGTCTCTTAATAAAAGTGAACGCATGACCACTCGCTACTGCCACCTCTCTTTCTCGTGAAACTGAACAAAAATTTAAACCTTGCCATCCCACTGGGGAGCGAGATAGAGGAGAAAACTAAATCAAAAAATACTCTTACAAAAATGTAATTCCCTGATCATAATAAGGCCGCAACAGGGTTCGAACCTGTGTCCCCAGAATAATACACAATATATATTATCAGAATCTGATGTGCTCTGTGCTTTTCGTTAGTGCGGAACTATTCACTGAGAGTGGGATCAAACTTACAACCACTACACTATGCAGCCATTGGCGGAATTGCCGAGAAAGTCTTTGATACAATTTATAACGTATGTGGTCGTGATGTAGTGAATCCTGACTCGATTCTCTTTCGCTTCTCGGAAAGCTGCATCTCGCTTATGGATTCAACCGAAGCACTTCAAAGCCTGTAAAAGCATGTAATATTTCAATCTTTATAAGACAAACATATGTCAAATGAAGAGCTAACCGAGTTGTTGCTATGTTAAAAAGACGAACGTCTCATAGAAGATTGGAAGCTTTGAAGCGTTTTCGTTTCATATACGAACCCTGTCATGAGAATTCAGCCACCCTCCTCCTAGAATGCCAACACCACCTCCCATTTCTACCTCCAAGTTCGCACTGTCTCCAACAAATTCCAAATCATTATTACGCCAACGATCAATCGTCACATTACTCCTATTTACTGGACTACAGCTAGGTATCCGACTTGTGTCGGTGGTACTGTTCATCTGGTTTCTTGCCCAGAGAGGTATGGGGCTCAGCGGTGGGGAAACGATACGGCGAGAATTAAAAGGGACAGAAGGACTACCTTGGACTGCTTTGAAGAGAGGCGGAGGGAGGTGAGGAGAGATGCCAGACTTGCCAGTGATTCAAATTCCTGAAAGCTCACCAACTTCGCTGTATCCTATGAAAGTGCGGTATCGATTCTCACAACAGAACAACAAACAGTGAATTATATATAAAAGGCAAACTTGCGCCAAACGTATTGATGACCTCTATGTAACGTAATATGCAGAATTTCTTGAGAAAGAGAACGTAAATTTTCTTCGTGAGTCGTGAGGAAGTACTGGGTATCCCACTATGTAATGCAGCGCCAAATATTTGATACAATCCTACTCCCTGCTCGCTCTAATACACATGTGAGCAGGGAGTTCCAATCCTTTCCTTCCCGAGGAAGCCTTTGCCTTCAGCACCAGCCAAGTTTCTAGATCATCGATTATTTCGATTAGGATGTGTTGGTGGAAATTAGTGCCTCGAGTGTAGTGACATGTTGATAGCCAGAGGTACGTAGATCAGGTGGTCGATGTTGAGCAGTTGGTCTTGAATAAATCTGCATCAAACGAGTTGTTGGATCTTGAGACGTATATCTGGATGATGAGGGTAGAACATCCTACTGCCATAGCAATGGCAATGATAGGTAGATTCACACGGGCGAAGTCGAGACGCCTGACATGGATATGTTTCCTGCCAAGAATATCTCGCCACAGGAGGCCGGCAAGGGAGGCACTGAAGGCAGTGCTGAACGCTCCGTAATTAACACCAAGAGCCATAGCATATACAGTGCCCCAGAACGTCCTCTCCGTGATGATGGTGTGGTCTTTGTTATGAATCGTCACCCACGCTTGGATAACACGGCAGAGGAGAATAGTGGTACCAATATTTGTACCTGCAAACTGATGGTCAAACAGTATTAGCTGACGGCACTCGAAATTTTCCAGCAAGTACCAGAAACTCACATTGCACAAAAGGGTCGAGATAAACCCCATACCACCAATGGCACCAACGGTCCCTGTCTTTTTCACCCACTAATAGTCTCAAGTTAGTAGTGATTCCTTAAAGGATACGCATATGTCGGACCGGGAAATTTTGCCATAGGGCGGCTAGCTGCACGTCTCACAACTCGTGAGGCATTCGCATACAAAATATTGAGAAAAATAGCTTACGTGGTCCCATCCATATGCAAACACAGGCACCCAGCCATTTGTCACCAATCCTTGCACTAGGACGAACATGGAGAAGGCAAACGGTAGAAGGGCGTATGGCAAGTGTGATAAAACTGCCGTGCATGTGGGAAATGTCTCCTGGGCCCACCGGTGGCCATCTTCCACCAAAATTACGAGTGTCTTACGCTTCTTCTTGCCTGCAGCCTTACCTGAGATTTGCTCCGAGAATGCTCGCTTCTCTTCGTCCTCTTCGCTGGATGCTGTGCCCGGGACTCTTTGCGGATGGTAGCTCGAATCTGGGCCATTTAGTTCCTCTTTGCTTTTGGGTGTACTTGCTACGCTAGTCGATAGCCCATTCTGGGATGTATCGGCTCTTGATACTAGCTTTGCGACAGATGATGCAAGATCAGGAGACGCAGCACCACCATTTTCGGACACGGAAGACTGCAATGGTGCAGCTCTGTCAGCAGCCTGTTGACTGTTTTGTAAGGTTCCCGACAAAGCCTCATTCTCAAGAGCGGCTAGCCTTGCCTGCTCCGCTCGAAACCTCTCTTTTTCCAGTCTTCCATTTTTAGAAATCTCACGCGTCTTCTTCCGGCTGATCCACCCGGATGTCAGATCCCAACAGAACATCACAACTGCAGCTGGCAGTGTTATATAGAATACCGGCACGTCTTTGCCCTTGCCTTGATCGCTAGCGTTGACGGCGAGGAGAGTGACGAGGGTAGCGGTCATAATGACAGCTCCGAAGGCAGCGCCTTTTTTGTCCACGAAAGGATTCATGATCTCCTCGAGCGACAGCACCTTTCCTTGGTCATCGTTTATGTTCTCTTGCTCCTCGGCAATGCCTCTACCATCAGGGATGTTAGGGTTAACCGGAATCTTGGCTTGCTCTTCCGGAGTAAGGCTATGCATCTCAATTTTAAGGGGAATGAGAGCTTCCTCCGCAAAGACGATGTATAACAAGAATGGGAATAGAACAATAGCTGTGACAATGACTGGCACAATCATGTTTGCCTAGCATCTGATAAGTAATGTGCTCCTTGGACATCGAAGCAGATAAAATTGATTAGAGACAATAGGACCGACAGCACTAACCGTGTATTTGATAAAGGTCACGTGGAAAGCACCGGCAAGCACGAGATTCGTTGGATTGGAAGAGACGAGGATTGCAGAGGCAATATTGGCGACGGCGAACTGAGTGTGAATCCAAGCCCGTGGATGGACGATATTGCTGGATACTCGAGTCATATAGGCGAGGAAAGCCGTGCCGGACAGGATAATTGGATCGTTGCCAATGAAGCTCCCGAGGACGAAGAAGAAGGCGTACAGGTAGAAGAACAGCAAATGCCCAACCTTGCCTGCCTTTTGAAGCACTTTGAACGCCAACCACCTGATCAAGCCGGAAGCGTCGATGGAAATAGCAATGTATGCCAGTGAAAGGAAGAAGAGCATGATGTTATAAGGTCTGTGGCACAAGGGAGTCAGTGTGTGATGGGCTTACACGTATTTGAGAAGAATTATAACATCCGATAGAAGTTCGTGAGATTTCCAGCTCAACAGAGGAAGATTTATTTTGGAGCACCTACAAAATGCTGTCTGCGCCGAGTGTACCGTCATGCACTTCTTGTCTCCCGATGGCGAGAATGGCAAGCAGGAAAAGATCGGCTATCAAAGGGGCTGTGACAAAGTTCATGGGGAACCTCAGCCGCACCCACGGCTTCTCTTTGCCATTATGATCATCTGTGTCGTCATGTTGAAAGCGGCCTCGCCTTGGCGATATTATTCGACAAGAGCTCAGAGCATCTAAGATAACATTCCAAACCCATCGAGGAATGTAGAACGGGATGTGGAAAGGGAAAAGGACAATGATATCTATGCACAGAGGTTAACACCAATGATCCGACCTGGCAGGGTGTCTCATCCACCTACTAGTGACGACGAACACAATCAGCGTTATGATCGATTTGTAACTCCTGATCTGGCTCGTGTCTGTGCTAGCGCAACCACTGCTGTTGCTGTCCATCTCGACAAAATCCCTTCGGGCAGAGGCGTTGAGCTAGATGTACTTGTTCTAGAGCCGTCTGTTAGGAGTCGTGCTCTTTGGCCAATGCAAGAGCAGTTGCTATTTAGGCACCGTCCATTTCAAAAATATGTGTTCAGCTTGTCGGCCACCGGCACATCCTTGAGTCGTTGCAGTAAGTCTGAAAAAGCGGAGATGGCTTAGAGGTTGGTCAGATGTCCGAATTACTGAGGGCAAGCTTCGAGGCACCGCAGGGGATCGATTGGCCCTGACTCGGATTCGGATTCGGATTCGGATTCGACGAGTGAATAGACTACTGAAATTTGCTTATCTAGAAGCGTCGCATCACTGTTAGCAGAGCCTGGTGCAGAGCGTTGAGAACGAGCTGTCGTTGACGAGGTTTGTGAGCTGGAGAAAAAACCGCGAGCGACGGCACCACCCGCTGATCTCACAGCAATAGACAGCACCCCAACAGACCCCGCCCCCCGGAAAAAGGGACGGGATAGCATAGCCACCGTCACGTGAGGACAGTTTTTGCATTGAGGTGGGATCAGCAAGATTCACACATACTTCGTACTGACGACAAAATGCCAAGGACGCCAGCTTTGCGCGCGATTTGTGCCGGCGCGGTTGCTGGTGGAACGATTTCACAGGACAAGGCGTTGGAGGCCCGTGAGGTCACCGAGGGCGGATGTCGACCAAAGGAGGAGTTAGGACGGGGAATGGCAAGAAGATAGAGGATCCGTGGCAGGTAACAAGTAATGTCAGTATGTCAGTATGTTACTGCGGCCAGTGGGCGGTGAGAGGCAGCAAGGCTGTGCACGAGCATGTGAGGGAACTCCGGGCGCGTCCGGATTTGTTCTCTGCTTCGTAAATTACGTGCTGCCCGTCAATCGCGGGGCTGGGGGGCGAGACAAGGACGGTGAGGTGAGGTGAGGTGAGGTGAGTGAACTCGGAAGTGAAGCGTGCAGGAGAGTGAGGCGAGCGAACGGCAGATGCAGCTGGGAGCACTTGCGGGCTTGCAGCACTGCAAGCACTGGAGCACAGCACAAGCGAGTCCTCTACCAGCCTTCCTCTTGGGCCCTGGGGGCGCCATCGTGTGCGGCTGACAGTCGATCCCTTTGGGGTAAGAGCTGTTTTGCTTTTCCCATCGCCTTCCTCGGTCATCTGTCGATCCTCCGCAGCAGAACACAAAACTGATGCCTGGCCTCGAACAAATAGATAACTCGCGCTGGCCAACGTGTCTGGGCCTCTGTATTCTCCCTCCCCAACATGCCAGCACTGCCCTCCATTGCGCTGG